GAACGACCCAGTGAACTTACACGTTAGACCACCGGGCAGAAATGACACCCCTTCTCCCTCCCGCCCCCCGAAGCGTCGCACCAAGCCTCTGATCCTGCATGAAAACACAAGGGTTACAGATCACACAGTTTAAGGTAGATTTCATATTTATTTAAATATTTATCAAGTACTCAAAAATGTATTACACTTGAGCATACAAAATGAATCCAGTTTCTAATCAGGATGGTTGAAATCCTTGTATTAGACTTTTAACCTTTTTTTTTTCTTTGTTTTTCACTGTACTGTCGAAATGGTTGCTTAGGGTGGGCTGAGACGGTGAGGAGGGAGGAAAAAGAAGGTTACGATAAGAAAACATTAGGGTTTGAAGTAACTGTCATGCAAACCAACTTGTCCTTGTCAGTCTAAAAATCTCTGAATATTCCAGTTGTTAAGGGTTATTTAAAGCTAGCTTTTGTCTCGCGCTGAACGGGAGCACTTGGATCGCAGCAAAAACAACCCTTCCCTATGTTTTGGTTTGGTTTTTTTTCTTCTTCTTCTTACTACTTTTCCCCAAGAAATCACCCACGTTTCTAGCTTTCACCACCCTCTCCCCCGCAAATTAAAAAAGGAAGAAAAGAGGGAGTGAAGAGAGGGAAGTCGACAGAAAATAAGGAACACTATTCGTGCAATTTCACAGCAATATCCCCACAATCTATTCCTGCAGCATTTTTAAATCGTTTTGACAGCAGACACTGATAAATAATGGTCATACTTGACTTGTTAAGCAAAAAGCGTCCCTTTTATCAGGAGCTTATACTTAAAGTACAGGTCACTTCAACAATCTCAACAACGATGCTTTGGTATACAGCACTTTCTTTTTATTATTTTTAAAAAATAATAGAACTCAGCAAAAAGCCTGAGCTCACAGTTCTTTAGATGTCTTAACGTTATGTCAGATCATGCCTAGAGTAATATCACTTTTAAGGACAAGGGATGGGGGGAGGAACAAGAGAGTTTCTAACGTTATCAATTGAAAGCTAAGGCATCCAACTAGCCCTGATATAGTTGTTGAAACGGAAATTTACAAGCTGGTCGTTAATACTTGCAATAAAATATCACACTCCTTTTATTCACTAACGACCTGCTTTGCATGCAATATTTTATTTCAGGTATTTTAGCTGCTAACTTGTAAATATTTAAAAGAGGGAACTTTGTTCATTATTTAATATTATTATTAGTTTCTCTGTTCCAAACGCTTATTTAGTGAAATAGTCCTGAAGATATAATAATTCTACATATGGCGCTTTTATTTCACATAATATTTAAGGAAAAAAAAAAAGACTAAAACCACATAGAATTAGACATATAATTCAAAGACCACGGTACAACCTGTTCTTTTTTTTTTTTTCTTTACTTCAGCAAACAAAAAAAAAGTCAAATGACATGAAAAGTGGCAAGTCTTCTGATAATAAATAATAAATTACTTTATAATTTTGCAATGCAAGAGCAAACAAAAAGATTTTTTTTCTTTTTCTTTTTGCTTTTTTTTACTTTTTTGTCTTTATTGAGAGAGAGGAAGAAAGAGAAAGAAAGAGAAAGAGAAAGAGAAAGAGAAAGAAAGAAAGAGAAAGAGAAAGAGAAAGAGAAAGAGAAAGAGAAAGAGAAAGAGAAAGAGAAAGAGAAAGAGAAAGAAACAGAAACAGAAACAGAAACAGAAACAGAAACAAACAGAAACAGAAACAGAAAGAAAGAGAAAAACAGTCGCTTTAACCAATGACTATACACATCTTTGGGGGAGGGGAAGTTTCTTGGACAGACACATTTCAAACACAATCCCGAGACGCTTTGTGGCAAAATAGAGGTATACCTTGTTGCAATGCTTTTTATAAATTGGTTTTTAAAGAGGAATTCAAAAACCTGTTTTTAATCGCTTCAGACTTGATAGAGGGTGGATCTCATCCAACCAAAACCAAAAACCCGCTACAGTACATGCTAGAAGAGACCCAGGAAACAACCCCTTGTTAAGAGTCAACTAAAAACAACATTGCAAACCAATGCAGCTCCACCTTCCTGCAATGAATCTTTCAACAATGCAGGGTTAAATAGTCTCTTTCCTGATGATGGAAAGCCTAGTGGAGCTCCTTTTGGCAAGGCAATCCCCAATATAGAAACAGCACCATTCGGTTGGGGAGGGACTGGATAGGAAATCCCTCTACCTTGGTTTCTCCCTAAGATGTGTAGTCAAATGAAAAGATTTTTTCTCACTTTTTTTTTGAGATCCACGAGTACAAATCCTTTGCATTTTGAAAATGTCTTTTCGATCTTCCTCTGATCATTGAATAGCGCCGGTTTTCTTTTTTTTCTTTTTTTTTCCTTTTTTTTCTTTTTTTTTTTTTTTTTGTATTTGTTCTAGTAAGATCCCATGATTGTCTTCACAGTGTTGCTACCATATTACCTTGTCTTTTCAGACATGACTCCGTTCACTTCATGGAGTGGTTCCTTGCTAGGTTCATTACAGGGTTGTTAAATATTTTATCCCCTAAATTTCGGAGTCCCAATGAGATCACTTTCCCACTCTCTCCAACCGGGATGAGGGTAAGGTCAGAAACAACAACAACAGAAATCTGAATGAATGTTCTTCATGCCTCAATAGGACTGGCTACCATGCTGTTGGGCGTATCTGGCAGCTGAGAGGACATTGATGCTACTTCACTTCCAGTAGAGTTGGAACCGGGTCCTCCTTCTGAAAAATTAACCTGCCAAAAAAAAAAAAAAAGAAAAAAGAAGAAGAAAAATAAGAAAAAGAAGGGTTGTTACAACTGTAACAATCAAAGAAAAGTAGCAGGCAAAGGCAAAGAAGAATGCAAAAATAAATACATAGGCATGCAGACCAGTGGCCTGAAATGTCTCCATGGGAGTCTCTGTCACTGTTGCTTTGTTTAGCCTCCCCATGGACTTCACAGCAATCTTCTTCAGGGCTTCAGCCAGATCACCAAAAAAGAAGCAGGTTTAAAAAAAAAAAGGACTAAAAAATCAAACAAATAAACAAACAAACTTATTAATGAGGCCTTCTTCCCTGTCTTGCAAGACTGGCAATCCCAACAGGATGTTCTATTCAATTATTTAAGAGTGCATGTGTTTTTTTGACGTGAAACTGCAAGGTTACTTTTTTCCCCTTTTGTGCACATACTAAAATAAACCTGGAAGAAACATCCAGGAGCAGCAGGCATTTGAAACAAGCCATCCTCTTTCATTTGTGATTTGAAGCAGGCGCTATCTCTATTTAACGAGAGTCAGTTTGATAAAAAAGGTCACACTTCTCCATTTTAATGTGCCCCGCGGCTCCCATTAGTTTAGGAGCAGCGTTGGGAAAAGGCATGATTTGAAGGGTGGAGCTTTGCTAATCCGAAAGCATTTCTTTGGCACCTATTTAACTGGCCGATCCTGTGATTAAGGCCCTTTCCAGATTAGAGACGTGCCTTGAACGGTGGATGAACTGTCTGTTCCATCCGCTGTTCTTTAACTCTTCTCAGTATCAGACATTATGTCGAACATATATCAATATTCATATGTCTATCGATTGATCTATCTATGCACCTGTGTATTTGGGCTATCCATCTTCCATACAGCCTTTTTTTAACTTTTTTTTTTTTTTTTTTGGAACTTAAAACTCGCTGCGTCGAAGGTTTTTAAAATCTCCTATTCTGTTAAGGCACAATAAGTGAGGCAGCCGAAGGAGATCAATTTCTCTTGTGTCTGCTTGACAGCTTGATTAAAGCAGGAAAACCGGTGGTTGCTGTAGAGGTAAGATGATGCAAACAGCCCGGCTGCTGTGCTGCAGCCTCCCGAGTGAGCACAGTGTGCCAGGGGAGGGAAGCAGGCTGCAGCCTGCCACTGGGCAAAAGAAAGGCGATCCTGCAAGGAAGTGTGATACTAAACTGAAGAGGTCTGAAAACAACTCTAGACATGGCTACAAACCTTTGTCTTCCCTTGCCTCATGTTGAAAAAAAAATGCCCAACAGATCCCAAAAGGGTATATATGTTACTGTTTCATCTTTAAGTATTATTTTGAATTACTGAGGAACTATACACAACATACCTTATTATTTTAAAGTTCCGATTTTAACAAACTTAGGCAGTCAATGAGTTAAGGCTGAACTTCTGTCCTTAATTCACCTTGCTGGGCCTAAGTATTGTAGGTTATATGGTCCCATATGAGCTGCCAAATGACATAGTCCAAAAAAGTGTGTTTTCTTTCATCTCAGGCAGCTTATTATATTGTTTGAATTTTTCACGTGATAGGTACTAACAATTCCCTTTCCAAAGCACATTTAAAGTAAGCTATGTATATATTGGTGTGTAGGTATGTATATAGAAATACATAAAGTTATATCCAGAGCTGTATAATGAATACAGGAGACAGGCTGACACTGTCATCATGTATTTGAAATCCACCCTGTCGCATAAAGGCAAAACTGGCCTGAAGAGGCGAGGGTCAAATTTTAGAAACAGCTTTCATGACGGTACATTCATTTGGATGACACGTGAAGACTGTTGTAGCTGTCTACGTAGAGGCACTTTCCGTTCTCAGGACTGTGCGTGCTGAGTTAGTCTCAGCCCTGGGTCGGGCCTCACCCAGCTCGGCGGGAGCCTTGCTGTGCATTAATGTAGATTTTGCAACAAACCCTATTAAATTAATTCGGTTTGCCGCATCTATAGGGTGCCATCACGCCCACCTTTCCCATTCCAGGAAAACCCGGCGAGTCTGGACTGCTCACCAAACTGGGGGCACCTGGCGCATTTAGGGAATGCCCCACTGCTCTGGCCCGGATACAGCCTGCCCTGCTCCGCCTGGGAACCGACACTTACTAGTTGCTGAAAAGCAGGTTGGTCTATGTCACTCTGCAACGCGAAATCACTCAGGACTTTCCAGGGCGGCTGGTAACTCTGCACCTCCACCGGGTTCGCCTGTAAACCACCGTCATGTCTCTCCGGACTAGCAGCCACCATCGGAGTTCCTGTCATCCCTTGGATATTCTGTAAACAACCCAGCAAAAAGATGGTAATGAGCTTGGTTAACTTTATTGTATAAAAGCGCTGAGTCAATAAACTGCTTTCTATCTTATCTATACAGTCGCTTGTATTTGCTTTGTTAATCTGCTGTGAATGTCTTACTCTATTCTGCTCTAGGTCAGCCTATTTCTACCCGCTGCATTTATCACAGTGGAAGTTTACTTTCTTTCCCTTTAATCCTCCTATTTCTCTCAAGGCATACCCCGTCCGCCCCAAGCTTTCTTAAACTTTTTCGGCTGCCGATGCACGGCTCGGCACATGAAACGGTTAATCATGCCGCCTTTCTGTTTCGCATCCCGGCTGGTTTGTTCTGCGTGACCTTAACTGGATCGTATATCCACTGCACGGCAAACCTGGGGTACACCAGCACCATGCTCTTTCACCAAAAAAAAAAAAAAAAAAAAAAAAAAAAAAAAAAAAAAAAAAAAAAAAACCCACCCCCCCCCAAATACCCCCGGTGGCGACACACGTGAG